CCCCCCCCCCCCCCCCCCCCCCCTCCCCTTATTCATCACGCATGAACGGCCTCCCTTCATGACCTCCCCGACGCGACTCCTGTCTTGCTAGGCTTGTCATTTCCATGTTCTTGGATATGAGTTCCTCCCAGCGCATCGATTGAGCAAACCATCGACTAGGCTAATCGGTGCCCGCCTCTTGTTTTGGGAACCAAGCCATAAACGTCTGTTGCAATTGTTCGTGGCATTGCCGCGTACACACGTACCATGGATGAAAAAATAAAAAAACTCGAATGTCGTTGAAACTGAAACGGTCAGGTGCCGCTTTCCGACGAAGCCATAGCGGTTAGGGTCGCCGAGCTGGTGGACGGCGTGGTGAAGCAGCTCCTCTCCGTCTGGGACAAGCTCGAGCCCGCCGCTCTGGGGGGGGAGGGCATCGGGGGGCCCGGTTCGGAGATCGAGATGATGACGACGGCGGCGATGACTTCCCTTACCTTGCCCCCGGCTTCTGTCCAGCTGCTGTCTCCTGACGCCAACAGTGGTGAGAGAGAGAAGAGAAGGAGGGTGGAGGGTAAGGAAGAATGAGAAGGGGGTGGCGGCGTGAAGAGAGGGAGGGGGAGAGAGAGAGAGGAAGACAGGGGAGAGGGGGGGGGGGGGGGTCGCGCACGTAACGGCTCCTAAGTTTGTTTGCTTTGAGTGCAATGGTGTTCCGCGGTGGGCGATGTTGGAATTTGGTTGATCTACTGGCCGGGCGGGCGGAGTGAAGAGAAGCGATGCGATGCGATGCGATGGAGTGCGCAGCGTGTAGCATCGCAGAACCTTTTGTATCTGAACTAGCTTGGTTTTTGTGTGCCTCAAGGAGCAGACTTGGACACGAACTGAGTAAGTCGGCGCGGACGGATCAGGCCGCATCTGACAAACTGCGAAACAACAATCTTAGCGCCTTGCAGTACCCCCCCCCGCTGGCGTTTTATTTTGCGTTTAATTTCGTTGTTTTCAAACGCACGCACACACGCGCGCGTACCAACAACTGCAACACGTCTTTCTTGCTTTCCTGACGACGACAGCGCCCGCGTTAGCGGCGACGGCTGCCGAGTGCTCGGACATGCTGCAGGAGGCGCTGCCGATGCTCTGGGCCTGCGTGTCCCACACGGACGTCGACGTTGCATTCGCGTGCTCCGACGCTATCGGCTGCCTCCTCCAGACCTTGAGACGCCAGGCGCAGGCGCCAAAGAAGCGCTGCGGCGCCGCGGGGGGAGGCGCCGCGGGGGGGGTCATGAACGGGGGACCGGGGGGGGGGGGGGGGG